TCTGCTACAGCTTTTGTGGTGACCCAGCTTTGGGTTTGTCCAGCTGAAACAATTCCCGTTGAGTCTAGTCTCTTGTCAGCCTAGGTTAAGGTTGGTCATTTTCTCTTTTCAGACAATCCTGTTTATTGTTTGTCTTCTTCTTTGAAGTGTGAAGTTAGGTTATTGGTTTGAGATCTCTCTCTCTCTTTTTTTTTTTTTTTTCTCGAGACAGAGTTTTTCTGTGTAGCTTTGCACCTTTCCTGGAACTCACTTTGTAGACCAGGCTGGCCTGGAACTCACAGAAATCTGCCTGGCTCTCCCTCCCAAGTGCTGGGATTAAAGGCGAGCACCACCACCGCCCAGCTAAAAAATGTTTGTTTGTTTGTTTGTTTTTTCGAGACAGGGTTTCTCTGTGTAGCTTTGCGCCTTTCCTGGAACTCACTTGGTAGCCCAGGCTGGCCTCGAACTCACAGAGATCCACCTGGCTCTGCCTCCCGAGTGCTGGGATTAAAGGTGTTCGCCACCACAGCCCAGCTGAGATCTTTTAAAATGTGTTTAGAGCAGTGATTTTTCCCTCTAAGCATAGCTTTTACTGGTGTGTTGCTATTAATCTAGCTGCAGAGACATCTCTGTGTTTAAAGTCACTGGCTGCTCTTTCCGAAGCCCTAAGTTCAGTTCCCAGCACCCACATGGCAGCTCATAAGCGTCTATACCTCCAGTTCCAGGAGATCCCATGCCCTCTTGGAGCACCAGGTACTCAAATAGTACATATACATGCAGGCAAAACATCCATACCCACAGAATAATAAAAACCCTTCTTAAGTGTTTTAAATTTTCTGGATGTATGAGTTTACCAATTTTCTAGTTTTTTGTTTTTTGGTTTTTTTTTTGTTGTTGTTTTGTTTTTCCAGATCTCATTACAGATGGTTGTGAGCCACCACGTGGGTGCTGGGAATTGAACTCAGGACCTCTTGAAGAGCAATCGGTGCTCTTAACCTCTGAGCCATCTCTCCAGCCCGTTGTTTTTTTGTTTTTGTTTTTTTTTTTTTTTCCCAAGACAGGGTTTCTTTGTGTAGCTTTGGAGCCTGTCCTGGAACTCATTCTGTAGACCAGGCTGGCCTTGAACTCACAGAGATCCGCCTGCTTCTGCCTCCCGAGTGCTGGGAATAAAGGCGTGCACCACCACTGACCGGCTAAAAAATTTTAATTATTTATTGCGTATATGCTGTTGTTTTTGTTGCTAAGGACATGAGGTTTTTTTGTTTGTATTGTGTAGGTGTTCTACCTGCATGTATGTCTATGCACCACATCCATGTAGTGCCTACAGAGGCCAAAAGAGTGCATCAGTTCTCCTGGAGCTGGGAATTACAGATGGCTGTGAACCATTTGACCTGAGCACTAGGAACGGAACTCTCGTCCTCTGAAAGAGCAGCCAGTGCTCCTAGTCATTGGGCTATCTCTCCAGCCCCATTAAATAATGTTCAGTTCCCAGCACCTATATGATGACAGCTCACAACTGTCTGTAACTCCTGTTCCAGGGGATCTGATACATTCACACAGACAAAACACCAATGCACATAAATTAAAAATAAAATCATTAAAATATAATATTTGAGGATTGGAGAGATGGCTCAGTGGTTAAGAGCACTGCCTGCTCTTCCAGAGGTCCTGAGTTCAATCCTCAGCAACCACATGGTGGCTCACAACCATCCATAATGAGATCTGGTGCCCTCTTCTGGCCTGCAGGCATACATGCAGGCAGAACACTACACATAATAAATAAATTTTTAAAAAAATAGTATTTGAACATCAACTAAGGTTTAACTAATACTTGAACACTGGCTACTATTTTTCAGTCAGGTTTTTGCTGAAAGCAGACTGCCCTACACAGTGTTGAGATGTCACCAGCAGTCCAAGCTCTATTGAAACCCTTAGAAGAGGAGCGTCTTGGAAATCCCAGCCCTTCCTTGCATTATACCACACCTTATTTTGTGTCCTCACCTCTACTCAAGTTTTCCTCAGAAACCTCACAGCACTTGTGTAGAATCCTTTCTCAATATGCCTCACCTGCATATTGAGATATATATAAAGATACCATCTTCCTCCAAGACAGTTCCAGGAAGTGACTGGCCTTTGCTTTCAAGTTGTCAATGTACACTGGAAGATAAGGAAACTTCTTGTAAACGAGAATCAGAAAAGCCCTGTATGTGTGAAGAAGCTGGGAAGGATAACCCAACACACCACCAACCTCCATCACCCAGGATCCCCCCAACAAGAAAATGCTATCAGCATCAATGAGTATAGGTCAGCCTCCCTACCCCAGCCCACCAATAGACAGCAGCAGGGAGCCCACAGCACACAGAAGCCCTTCAAATGCAATGGCTGTGGAACAAGCTTCCAGAAGGTCCTCAATATCAGTCACCTGATAACTCACTCTGATCATTTGTAGGATGGGCAAGAATGCCCCCAAGGGAAACTCAACCCCAGTTAGTCACCAAGAAACCAGCCCTGGAGTAACAGCTCATGTGTAATGAGTGTGAGGAGGCCTTCAGTCTGAAGAAGCACCAAAGGGGAACACAGGAATAAAACTTTTCAGGTACAGTGACTGTGGGAAATCTTCAACAGCAAAGATGCACTTGCTTCGCACCAGAGGATTCACACTGGAGCAAGCCATAACAGTGCAGGAAGTGTGGGAAACCTTCTGCACTGTCTACCCTGGTTTGGCAAGGGAATGTTCATGGTGGAGAAAGACCTTATGAGTGAAAAAAAAAAAATGTGGGAAGTGCTTTAAAGGCGGCAGCAGCAGCATCCTTCATAAAAAGAGTACACGCTGGAAAGAGGCCTTCTGGGTGCAAGCAGTGTGGGAAAAATAATATGTGACCCGCTCTGGCCCAGGACACATTAGCTCACATGCTCTCTTCTTGTGGATGTCACTCTTCAGAACGTCTACAAACTCTCCTGTTAATGCCTCCCCTCGTTATCTTGCTTCCAGCGTCAGCTGCCCAGAACCATGAGCAGACCTCAGAGGCTTCCTCTACCCCTGCTTTTGCTATGCGTTATTTTCTCACAGCTGTCCTTGCTCTTCCGAACAGCCCAATTGCTCACCCACTGACTAACTAACCATGGCTTGGGGAGTCAACGTAGGCTGGTCATTTCTGTTTCTGCTACTTGACCAGCCTGACAAAACCCTCATTCCCCAAGGAAGACATCTTTAGTGGGGAGGGAAGCATGCTAGGGGTCAAAGTCAGAGCTTTGTCCATGCTAGGCAAAGCCTTTACAATTGAGACAAGGTCTTGCTAAATTACTCGTTCTGGCCTTAAACTCACTCCGTAGTTCAGGCAGGCTTTGAGCTCATCATCCTCCTGCCTCAGTCACCTGAGTAGGATTATGCGTCTATGCCACCACACTCAGCCTATGCTTCACTGTTTTTTTTGTTTGTTTGTTTGTTTTTGCTTGTTTGTTTTTTGTTTTTTTCGAGACAGAGTTTCTCTGTGTAGTTTTGGTGCTGGTCCTGGATCTCGCTCTGTAGACCAGGCTGGCCTCGAACTCACAGAGATCCACCTGGCTCTGCCTCCCAAGTGCTGGGATTAAAGGCATGCATCACCACTGTCGGGCGCTTCACTGTTTTATGCTAGGTCTACTCTCTTGGTCAACCTATGGCTGCTTATAATGAATGTCATCCATCTTTGGATGTCTCCAGCTTGAGACACCTGAATTACAAAACTCAACTATTTTCTCCCTTACACCAACTTCCATATTTCCCCAAAACAAGGACAAACATTGTTATCTCTTTTTCTCATAGACCCACATCAGGTAATCTAGTTGGTCCAACTTAAGCAGATTCCAAAGTCAGCTATTAATTTAATTCCACCGGCACTCCTTATTAGTCACCAGAAGCACACACTGAAACTACTATATTTACCGCCTGGCTGGCCTTTCCATCTCCACCCTCACCATTCCCTCGGTGTGTTCCCAGCAGGCAGCTATAGGGGAAATCCCGTGGGTAAGTAACCAACCCTGTTGTAGAAACTCAGTCGAAATGCCACAGCTAACTACATGTTTTTGGCTTCTGTTAAACTGCTGGTTTTCTTCCGTCTGCAAAACTGCCAACAGGACGTAGTTTTTCTGTGTTCTTTGCCTTTAAAAGCGCCCTGTAAAATACATTCGAAGCTGCTTTGTGAGAAGTGTTTTTCTCTAGAAAGTCACCAGTATGCTTAACATAGACTTAATTCAGACTGGTCCTGCTGGTAGTCCCCCACCCTTCCGCCTATGAGATGTCCACAATCAACAAGCCCAGCTGGGATGATCTTTTGCTTGTGGGCGCAGCCGCATACCCAAAGATGGTGTCTTTGTTGTTGTTGTTTTATTCAGAAGACAGTCATCTAAAACACAGGAGGAAACCGAAAGTTTTGGATATCATTTCCATCTCCTACAAGACTCCAGGAGCATGAGGTCCCAGATCTCTGGACGGAAACCTGGGCACCCTCTCCTCCCTGGCGTGTTGAGTCCATCAGCGACCAGCTCTATCGGAACCCAGGGGCTGGACAAGTCCTCACGGGTCGGTTGAATCCTCACACTTCCACTGGGCGTGGTGACAGTGGAGGACGTCGGTCCTCAGGCTCTCGGTCTTCCTAAATTGGAAAACCACCTAAAACATCGGAGACCCGGTTCCAGGGACCATGTAAACTAAAGCCAAGCGCGGAGCCCCGGAGCCTCTTGGAGCAGGTAGCAGAGGAAGAAAGACCCAGGCTCTGGAAGGCTGACACACGAGCAGGGAGTTAACGCGATGTCCCGCATTCTGTCGGTCCCTTCCAGTCCAGCACAGGGGCTGCCAGGGGAACGTGCCACAGGACGCAGCACGGAAATCACAGCGGGACCACAAGTCCCGCCGCGTTCACTGAAGCTCTCGAGATTTGAACCAAATCTCTGAGGCTTCATTGGCTCAGGGTCCTCAAACGATGCCACACTGTTTCCCAGAAACCATCACGGCTCCACTTGGTCGTTGCCACGGAGATCATGAAACAAAAAGCGAGACGTCGCTGGTCACGTGACACGCACTACATCACCCAGAAACCCCTTCGCTGGCCAATGAAAACACAGAAGGGCATTTCCGGGCGGGCCAAAGGGTCGCTGGGCCAATGATAGACGAGGAGTCATTTCCTGGCCCGCATCGTCGAGGAGGCGGGAGTTCTGGCGTTTGACCAGCCACTTCGGCTGCGGAGGGGGCTGTGTCACCGGGTAGTTGCGGTAAGGGAGCTTCCGGGGGTCGCGGAAGCCGGAGCGGAGAAGACACAAGCGCAAGTCCTTCCCCGGAGCCCCGATGACGTTGGCCATCGGGCCACCCACGTGAATGTCGCGGGGTCGCAGCCAACGACCTAGCGCGTCCACCATGGCCTATGGTAATGTATCAGCAGGACCGAGAGGGACATAAGCTCGGAAGGACTTCAAGTGTGAGGTCATTACCGTCGCCCCGCCATTTCCTGGCTGGCTTCTCCTCGCCAGTCCTGCTGACATAGTGGGCGTTGTCATGACTGGGGCCTCTGAGACCTTCCCCGAGCGTTTTACATGATGCCGTTCTCCCCAGGTACACAACTGCATAGGTGGATTTCCCTACACTGTTGTCTGTCATGGGGCGAACCACCTTCCCCTGGGGTTGACTTCCCACAAACCCCTTGGTCTTCCATGGGAATCTCTGCTTCCACATTCCAGACTAGGAAAGAGAGGAAACGTGGATCGTTGGAATCAAGCTATGGCCAGAGAGGGTCAGTCCCTGTGAATGCAAGTCAGGTGTGGAGGTCGGCTATGTTCTCTTGTCTCAAGACGAGGGAGAGTAGCCATACCTCCTTTTAGTCTTCCAGACCCAATTCTGACATTTCATACTGTGTTCCCTGACTCCTGAGTTCTAACTGGTGTTCTCCAAGTACCACTCTTTCTACTTTTCCCTTCATACTTTAGGTCTTCTGTCCTTGGCCTCCACACAACATGTCTTGAGCTGATATACCCTTAGTTACTGAAAACTGGTTCTGTGGGACTGTCTTCTTCCCTCTGAAAGGCCCGCCGTTCTCCCATTGCACAGCACTTAATGCCTACCTGTGCTCCAGTCTCTCCATTTGGGCTCATTAGGTAGCAATGAGACCACCATGCAGAGAGGTGTTTCCATAGTGATGCCAGAAGAGCCCATACTATGACCTGCTGCCCTTGATATTTGATCTTTTCAGAAGGGGAAGTATCATTACTGTATGATGCAGCCTGCACTTTGGGGACAGCAAGCACCTGTGTATGAAATCTATTCTTAGCACCTTTGCCTGTACAATACCCTGACAAGGGCCACTTTTACAAAGTCTTGCTTCTCCCGGTACTGTCCTCTTCCAACAGCCCTCCCTGAGTCCCTTTGCAGAACATGGTATCTTTTTACCACTCTATGTCCCAGTAACTGTATTCAAGGCTGGCACCAACCATCTTCCAGTTTGTCCCTAGAAATGTGTGTCCCAGATAGTCTAAGCACCTCACTTGTCATTACCTTGCCTGTCACCTTTCCAGTAACAACCTATTGCTCTTAGAACCTGGCCCTTAATGCACAGGTAGGCATTAAGTGCTGTGCAATGGGAGAACGGCGGGCCTTTCAGAGGGAAGAAGACAGTCCCACAGAACCAGTTTTCAGTAACTAAGGGTATATCAGCTCAAGACATGTTGTGTGGAGGCCAAGGACAGAAGACCTAAAGTATGAAGGGAAAAGTAGAAAGAGTGGTACTTGGAGAACACCAGTTAGAACTCAGGAGTCAGGGAACACAGTATGAAATGTCAGAATTGGGTCTGGAAGACTAAAAGGAGGTATGGCTACTTTCCCTCAGGCTTCCTCTCCACCCAAGGCCTGCCAGGAAACCAATATCTGAAGCCACATTTCATCTCAAGGCTCACCAGGGAGCTTGTGCATAGATAGTCAGAAAATGTGAAATGCCGTCCTCTAAAAGTGATTTCGCAGCATCGTCTGGCTTGAGGCTCCTCTGAAGCTTTTGAGGGAATCTATCCCATGGCTAGTGTGTTGACTATGCCCCCTCATTCTCTCCCAAGACCGAGACTTCATTTGCCGCTCACACTGCCTCTGAGGATGCAGGGTGTACTGCTTGATTCCTAAGTCACTGTGGAAATGAAACCCTCAGTGGGAACAGGGAAGAGCGCTCCAAGCGCCTGCCTTTCCGCTTGTGCTTTTACTAGCCTAGCCTAGTCCTTTCTGCCACAGAGGTCACCTGTGTAGCAGCCCAGATTTTCTTTCTTTTTTTTTTTCTTTTTTAAAGATTTATTTATTATGTATACAGTGTTCTGTTTGTATGTATCCCTGCAGGCCAGAAGAGGGAGCCAGATCTCATTACAGATGGTTGTGAGCCACCATGTGGGTGCTGGGAATTGAACTCAGGACCTCTGGAAGAACAGCCACTGCTCTTAACCTCTGAGCCATCTCTCCAGCCCCCAGTCCAGATTTTCAATCTCCAGGGTTTCATTTATATGCTTCCTTACGCTAGAGATGACTGACACTGAATTTTGTGGCTTAACTGGTGTCAGAACTGAAGAGAAGGTACCAGAACAAGGAATGGAAACTGGAGAAAAGGAGATAACTTGGACATCATCATCCACCTGCAGCTGCTGGACTTAACATCTAGAGACAAGACGATCTTCCATCCTATCTGAGGAGATCAGAGATAATTCTGCTCTGAGCCCTGTGTCTCTGGTAGGTGAAGGGGTGGCTGATATCACGGGAACAGTTTCAGGTAGAGAACTCTCTTACTTGCAGATGACATAAACCCTATTCAAAATAGCTTCAACAAAAACCATTATTAGTGGTGAAAGAAATGAAAACTTCTATTCAGTATTTGGCTTCAGGTACTAATTTGATTTGAGGCTCGTGTCCTAGCAAAAGGCTTTCTCCGAGCCAGACTTTATGTAGTTAGTATGCCTGTAATGACAGTACACAGAAGGCCGAAGCAGGAGGACTGCAGATTTGAGGCCAGACTTGACTACTTCACAAGTACAAGGTCAGCCTGGGGCTACAGGGCAAGAACTTATCTAACCAATAACCCCCCAAGTCTCTGCCTTTTACTCAACACTGCTTTCTTCAATGGCAGTTGATGGGCAGGCCTCCCTTTACAGTCAAGATGGACGGTCAGCAGTCTAATTTGTACTCGCTCAGAGCCATGGGAGCTTGGTTTGGACTACTCTGACACACACACAAAAACATAGAGCAGGCCAATTACCTTACATATAGACTTGTTGAGGAGATCAGAAAGCAAGCTCAAGTCCAGGACCCTTTTCCAATAGGGTAGGGTTTGCTTCACAAGGTCTACCCATAGCTGCCAGGATACAAGAGATTGAGCTCTGATGACCATTATCTGTTCAACTCTGAGGCTGACACAGCTGGACTTTTAACTCCACTTTCAAGTATTGCTTCTCATTCTACTTGGTGGAGGACAGTTATTACACCCAGAAGGAATGGCCTGGAGTTAGGATATGCACTGATATCTTGGGATGCTCAGGAGAAGTTATGCAGACATGCCTCATGCTCATTGATGCTTTCATTGGAGTGGTTTGTCTCATGCTTCAGGGTCTGGGAAGAAGAGAGACATCACAAGCGGAGCTACATATTGTGGGTAAATATTGTAGGCCAATGCTTTCTTCATGCCTGGAGATCGATCCCCAGGCTCCCTCTTGCCTGATTTGTCTCACGTTCATTGTTGGGCCAGGAACACTTGTGATGTATAGATCTGGGTGGAACATTAAAGGATTCTACAAACCTTTAGATTTTTTGCTCTGTTCTGCACTTCTATTATTATTATTATTATTATTATCATCATCATCATCATCATCATCAGTGTCCTTGTTCTAAAGAAAATGGAGCCGGGCGGTGGTGGCACACGCCTTTATTCCCAGCACTCAGGAGGCAGAGCCAGGCAGATCTCTGTGAGTTCAAGGCCAACCTGGTCTCCAAAGAGAGTTCCAGGAAAGGCACAAAGCTACACAGAGAAACCCTGTCTTGAAAAACCAAAAAAAAAAAAAAAAGAGAAAATGGAGGTTCAGGGTGGTATATAAGATTTCTCTCCTGTGGTCAAGGTCACCATCAAGGCAAATTTAATAAGCGCTGAAAATGAGGTCATAGTTAAATGTGGTGGTGAATGCTTGTATTTCCAGCACTAGGAAAGTGGAGGCAGGAAGATAAGAAGTTTGGGGCCAATCTGGGTACATAAGAGACCATCTCTCAAAAAAGAAAAAGAAAACAAATAAACAAACAAAAAAAATCAGGTCTTTTGTTTTCCAAAGAGCTGCTGTTTTTTATTTTATTTTATTTTTTATTTCAGGGCTGAGAACCGAACCCAGGGCCTTGTGCTTGCTAGGCAAGTGCTCTACCACTGAGCTAAATCCCCAACCCCTGATTTTTTTAAATTGCATTATAAATTCCCATACTGCAAAAAAGAGATTCCCCCATTGTTTTTTCCCAGCTATTTACCTATCTGATGTCACCGAATGTGCATTTGAATATAACCAGCTCTTGTGAGCCCATATAATGTGATTCAGGCATCTCATTGGTTTATTGCTTGCATTTGCCACAGTCTCCCCCTCTTTCTCTGACCTCAAATCCACTGTTTCTGTACCCACCTATGACTCCCACCTGGCTATTGTAAATCTTATAGCCAGTGACACTTGACTATAGACTCTGGTCTTCAGAGGCTTTATTTATGGGTAGGACCAGGAGATAGAGGGCCTCTCAACATCGCTGTAGGAATTCTTGAGAACAAAGGGACCAGCTCCTGCTGCCCTTGGGTTTATTGGGGATTGCCACTCCACTATCCAGTTTCCAAAGCTTTAGACTCAAGAGGTCCTGGACATATGGGACACAGTGACCTTCAGTCCATCCCCCAGACTTTGAGCATCAAGGAAATCCAGGCTAACATGAACTGGGAGCTGCTGCTTGTCCTCTTGCTGTCGCCTGTGAGGTAAATGAAGCCTCTCCTCCTGAGCCCTTCCAGCCTTTTATTTTGGAGCCCAATTACCTTTTCAGTTCCTGCCCACAGAGGGTGATCCCTGAAATGAAAAGGTGACTTTAACATGAAGACTTTCCTTATTCTTTCTGAAGGCAGCTGGGTCCCAAGGTCAAATCCCTTGCAGGCTGGACAAACCTGCACGAGACTCAAGAACCAAGGTGTAAAATCTTTGGATGTCATCAGTGGATTCCAGTTCAGATCCTCTTGGACAGACCTAGGTCAGGGAAGAGCCTGAACCACTGCAGATGGGGATAAGTGGGAACTGAGGTGACCCAAAGGGCTCCCTTCACTTACTCCAGAATGAGAGAGCACAGAGGTCTGCTTTCCCTAAGAATGGGAGGCACACACTGTGAGTCCTTCCAGGTAAGTGTGGCAGTGACATAATCTGACAAAGGACCTAGACAGAAAAGAAAGTATAAAATAGCTCCCCAAAGCTTCCCACATTCTTGGCACTCTCTCCTGAGGGATGCTAGAATGTATGTTTCAGTTTCAGTTGCTATAATCTGATGACTTCCTTAAAGTTTCTTCTGACTTAAGGTTTCTCATGAGTGAGTCCTTTTACAGTGAAGCAGAAGAAAGGCTCTAGCTGAGTGCATTGCGACATTGGCCACCTTTCCAGTGTGATGATTCTGGTGCTGAGAGAAACTGCAGCTTTGATTGAAGGTGTTTCTAAGTCCGATGCACTTGGAAAGCTAGTCTCTAGCATGTCTTTCCTGGTGCTTGGATAGGGTAGAGCTATAGCAGAAAACTTTTCCACATTTGCTACAATGACTGGGCTTTTCTCCTGTGTGGATTCTCTGGTGCTGACTGAGGATGGAGCAGTCACTAAAGACTTCCCCACACCAGCCACACTCAAGGCCTTTTTCCATTATGAACTTTTCAGTGCTTAGCAAGGTTAGAGCTATAGCTGAATGCTTTCCTGTATTCACTGCATTTGTAAGGCCTCTCCCTACTGTAAACCTCCTGGTGCTGAATGAGGGCAGAGAGTTGGCTGAAGGCTTTTCTATGTTCTGAGCATTCACAGGGCTTTTCTCCAGTGTGCATTCACTGGTGTGGAGCAAGGTTAGGGAGCCTGCTGAAGACTTTCCCACAGTGGTTGAAGTTATCAGTCAGGTCTTTCTCCAGAGCAGCTCCTTTGAGGCAGAACAAGCTTGGAGGTTTGTCAGAAGGCTTTCCCTCATTCACTGCACTCAAGAGGACTTTCTGTGTTAGGAACTTTCTGGTGACAAACATGGTGGGAGCTGTTTATGAAGGCTTTCCTGCACTCCTCGAATCGTAAGGCCTTTCTCCAGTGTGTATTTTCTGCTGCTCGACCAAATTGGAAATGCAACTAAAGACTCCTGTACCAGTTGCATTCATAAGGCCTTCCTGTGTTGTGAACTTTTGGAGGCCAAACAACATGGAAGCTTCAAGCAAAGGCTTTCTTACACTGGCCACACTCATAAGGCCTTTCTCTGCTGTGAACTCTCTGGTGCTGAACCATTGAGTGCTTTTGGGTGAAAGCTTTTCCACATTCACTACAAGTATGATTTAGTATGAGCTTTCTGATGTGACCTTAGTTTAAATAAGTGGCTTTAAATCTTCCCACATTTCTTACACACATGAAATGATTTTGCAGTGTGATATTTGTTGGCATTTCCCATGAGGCCATTCCCACCTTTTCGGCATCTGAAGTGTCTTTCTTCAGTGTCTTGTCAGATGATCAGGGAAAGCAAAGACCACCTGGAAGCTGTTGTTGGTTGTTTCTGCTCTTTGTGGGGCCCGCCACCCAGCTCCCAAATAAATCACACATGGAGGCTTGTTATTATAAATGCCCAGCCTAAGCGCTGGAGAGATGACTCAGAGGTTAAGAGCACTGACTGCTCTTCCAAAGGTCCTGAGTTCAATTCCCAGCACCCACATGGTGGCTCTCATCTGTAATGAGATCTGGCTCCCTCTTCTGGCCTGCAGGGATACGTGCAAACAGAATACTGTATACATAATAAATAAATAAATCTTTAAAAAATAAATAAATAAATGCCCAGCCTTAGTTTGGCTTGTTTCTTGCCAGCTTTCCTTAAATTATCCTGTCAACCTTTTGCCTCTGGGCTTTTCCTGTTCTCTTTTTCTGTACATCTTTCTTACTCTGTTGCTGGTTATGTAGCTGGGTGGCTGGTCCCTGATGGTCCTCCTCCTCTGGATACTTCTTTTTTCCTTCTTTCCTCCCAGATTTCTCCTTCTATATATTCTCTCTTCCTGCCAGCCCCGCCTATCCTTTCTCCTGCCTCATTGTTGGCCATTCACCTCTTTATTAAACCATCAGGTGTTCTAGACAGGCACAGTAACACAGCTTCCCAGAGTTAAACAAATGCAACACAAACAAAAGTAACACCTAAAAATAATATTCCACAACAGGAAGCATGTTCCACGGAGACTGCGTTTGAAAGGCTTCTGTGCACCACAACTCCCTGTGGTTCCCTGTGGCTAGACCAAGGTGGGAAGGCAGGCCTGTGCTCAGTGTTCTCTTTACTGGGGAGGACCTGCTGGGAATCAGGGCCTTCAAAGATGACTTTTTTTTTTCTTTTTTTTTTTGGGTTTTTCAGGACAGGGTTTCTCTGCATAACTGTCATGGCTGTCCTGGAACTCTGTGTAGATCAGGCTGACCGAAAACTCAGAGCTCCACCTGCTTCTGCCTCTCAAATGCTGGGATTAAAAGCAAGTGCCACCACTTCCCAGCATATGATGGGTTTCTTTTCTTTCTTTTTTTTTTTTAAGATTTATTTATTTATTATGTATATGTGTTCTGTCTGCATGTATACCTGCAGGCCAGAGCTCATTACAGACAATTATGAGCCACCATGGGTTGCTGGGAACTGAACTCAGGACCTCTGGAAGAGCAGCCAGATGCTCTTAACCATTGAGCCATCTCTCCAGCTTCACATGATGGGTTTCTTAGCACTATACTTTTTCTTTGGCCAATGAAAGTTCACACTGATCCAGAAGCTTCTGCCACATGTGCCACAAATATAAAAATATATGGCTTCTGTTGAAGTTGTGTTCCCTTACCTTCAGCAACATTTAAAATGTTTTTCAAGACTGGGCCGCACATAACACAGGCATAGGCCTTCCAGCTTGTCTTTTTTTTTTTTTTTTTAAATTATTATGTATACAGTGTTCTGCCTGCCTGCACATATCCTTGCAGGCCAGAAGGGGGCATCAGATACCATTACAGATGGTTGTGAGCCACCATGTGGTTGCTGGGAATTGAACTCAGACCTCTGGAAGAAGAGCCAGTGCTCTTAACCTCTCAGCCAGCTCTCCATCTCTCCAGCCTGTCTTATATGTCCCAAACTGAAACATGTCCACAAAAACAACCTTTTCATGAAAGGCTTTCTCCACTCCATGCCAGCAACCTGAAAGAATATATGCTCCAGGAAAGCATCTGTGGGGGCTTTGTTGGAAATGGGCAGCCTAGTTTTGTTTGTTTTATTTGAGACAGTCTCTCATCTGTACTCCAGGTAAATCTTCATCTAGCGGGCTGGAGAGATGGCTCAGAGGTTAAGAGTACTGGCTGCTCTTCCAGAGGTCCTGAGTTCAATTCCCAGCACCCACATGGTGGCTCACAACCATCTGTAATGAGATCTAGCGCCCTCTTCTGGCCTGCAGTGCAGGCATGCGTGCAGGCAGATCACTGTATATACATAGTAAATAAATAAATCTTTAAAAAAATCTTCATCTAGCAGTGATTCTCCTGCCTCTTTCTCCAAAGTTCTTGGGTTATAGGTGTGCATCATCACTGAGCTTGTGGGCAGCCTCTTTACAAGCACCTATCCAGCCAGGTGTGGGGGCATATACCTTTAATCCCAGTACTCTGGAGGCTGGGGCAGGCAGATCTCTGTGAGTTCAAGGCTAGCATGGTCTCTGCGTGTTTCAGGCCAGTCAAGATTACATAATGAGAACATGTCTCAAAAAAAATGAGCAAACATGCTAGGCAATGGTGGTGCACTCTTTTAATTCCAGCACTCTGGAGGTAGAAACAGGCAGATCTCTGTGAGTTCAGGGCCAGTCTGGTCTACAGAGTGAGTTCCAGGACAGCCAGAGTTGTTAAACAGAGAAACTGTCTACAAAAAATAAACAGAAGAGTTGCGTAGCACTATGCTAACCCTGGTGTTACTCCTGCCTCCAGCTCCCACTCACCAAGCCTTCACTCCCTCTTGTGACTAGAGACACATCTATCTTGTCAAGCACTCAGGGTTCTTTACCCTGCTCCAACTGTGAACTCACACAGTCCTTGGAAGATGCAAATTGTGTGAGAAGAGAGATGGGTGGCTAGCTTTCACTTAGGTCAACCCACCTTCTGACAGACCAGAGGCATCTCATCTCATTTTTGCAACTGGAAGTGAGAATGTAGTTCATTTTACAATCCTAGGCTGAGAACATAGCTCAATGGTAGTTTGCCTAGTCTGTCCAAGGTCCTGGGTTTGTGCCCCAACATAGAAAATTTTTTTTTCAAAAAACTATACCCAAACAAGCCTCTGAAGACTGTCTCATAAAAATAGCACAGTGGGCCAGGCAGTAGTGGTGCACACCTTTAATCCCAGCACTCAGGAGGCAGGTGCACATTTGTAAGTTCAAAGCCACCCAAAACTAAACAGTGAAACCCTGTTTTTTTGTTTGTTTGTTTGTTTTTTGTTTTTGTTTTTAAAAGAGGGTCTGGAGAGATGACTCATCAGTTAAGAGCACTGGCTGTTCTTCCAGAGGTCATGAGTTCAATTCCCAGCAACCATCTCTAGTGGGATCTGATGCCCTCTTCTGGCATAAAGGCATACGTGCAGATAAGCACTCATATACATAAAATAAAAGAATAAATCTTTTCAAAAAAGAGAGAAAGAAGGATGGAAGAAAGAAAGAGAAGGCTGCTAGATACAATGGTACATACCTCAGAACTTGGAAGACTGAGGTAGGAGGATTGTGAATTTGAAGGCAGCCTGAGCTACAGAGTAAAACCATGTCTCATGTAAGAAAAAAACAATAATTATGGATTAGACTATAGAAAAATGTCTGCTGTAAATCAAACAGTGAAGGGGAAGATGAATAGAAATCTCACACAACTTAAGTAAAATGTAGTTCACTTTCTTTTTTCTTTCTTTTTTTTTCTTTTTTGTTGTTTGTTTTTTGAGACTGAGTTTCTCAGTGTAGTTTTGGTGCCTGTCCTGGATCTCATGCTGTAGACCAGGCTGGCCTCGAACTCACAGAGATCCACCTGGCTCTGCCTCCCCAGTGCTGGGGTGTGTGCCACTGCCGCCCAAACATAGCACTCTGAACAGATGAAGATAGGTCTCCTGAATCCCAGAATCTAATCAATATTTATATGTATAATTCAGCTATCATTTGGCTTATAAGGGCTTATTGGGAAATGTTATCTATACTATTTTCTACAGAGAAAATAATTTACTGTTTAAAATAACCCTGGACTTTTTTTGTTTTGTTTTGTTTTGTTTGTTTGTTTTTGTTTTTTCAAGACAGGGTTTCTCTGTGTAGCTTAGCACCTTTCCTGGAACTCACTTTGGAGACCAGGCTGGCCTCAAACTCACAGAGATCCACCTGCCTCTGCCTCCAGAGTGCTGGGATTAAAGGTGTGCACCACTGCCGCCCGGCTGGACTTTTAAATTATAACCTGTTTTTTTTTTTTTTTTTTTGGTTTTTCGAGACAGGGTTTCTCTGTGTAGCTTTGCGCCTTTCCTGGAACTCACTTGGTAGTCCAGGCTGGCCTCGAACTCACAGAGATCCGCCTGGCTCTGCCTCCCGAGTGCTGGGATTAAAGGCGTGCACCACCACTGCCCGGCTATAACCTGTTTTTATGTTCAGGCAAAAAACAAAAACTAAAACAACAAAAAAGTCAGAACCTAGGACAGAGTGCCATCAACCTCTGCTTGGGGAAGAAGCATCAGAGAACTGAGCAGAGGACAAGCTTTATATGTTGTTGGGGGCGGGGGCGCTTTTCAGGATGGAGATTTCCACGGTGGAGATTGGTGGAATTTCAAGTCCAGAGCTTGGGCTTTTTACTATATAGGGAAGGGGCAAGGGCTGGCCGTTAGGGCAGTTAGAGTGTTCCATGGGTGGAACCCCGCCATTGGAAGTCCTGGGGGGAGGGGGAGCTGGCTACTTCAAGCCTTGAGGAGCTTACACCTTCCCCTGAAGTTGCTCCTCCCATCCTCTGACTCTGTGGCATGTACCACAGCTCAGTTAACTGGTCCTCAACTGCCACAATTAGCCATCTACTCTCCTAACCTAAAGATGCCCGCCCCCCCCCGCGCCCCGCCGCCGCCGCCCTTTAAAGTTTATTATTTATGTATATCTGTGGAGGTCTATGTATATACAAGAATGTTGGTGTGTGCCTGTAATCACAGGACTGGGAAGGTGGAAGTAAGAGAATCAGGAGTTCCAGGTCAGACTTGGCCACATTGGGAGCTGGATCACAGCCTGTGTTGCTTAAAATACTGTCAAAAAAAAAAAAAAAAAAAAAAAAGAAGGAAAAAAGAAAAGAAAAACAAGTGAGGTTGTAGCTTTGCTGGATCTGTCAGTTTGGAGGTGGGAGAAATAAAATTTTGCATCTGTTGTTAAGCTAGCCAGATTATATGATGTGGAAATAAGGAGGGGATAATGAGGAATGGAGTCTGTCCTCAGTAACTAGAAGGCAGAAGTTACATAGAATCCTTATGGGTCTCCCCTCCTTCCTAACGTTCACCCCAAGCATAGATCTTGGGCAGCCAGAGGGAGCTTGGGAACATAAGATCACGCATCTAGGGTGCTTCAATCCAACCATGGCTCCCACTACCTTTGAGAGTTCTTCAGACTGCCACTCTACCGTGCCTCCCTTCTCCTCCGACATAACAGATCTTGAACACTCTAGCTCAGCCTCGATTTCAAGCAATTGCACAAACCGTCCCTATGCATCCAATAGCTCTCCGTACTGCACTGTTTTCCGGTAGTGGGAAACCCTCCACGCACATAACGCACAGTGGGGATTTTGGGAATGTGAATCTAGGGATCCCAGAAGCAAGGCAAGACAGCGAAAGGAGGGAGAGGTAAGTCCATAGACACCCTTTCCAGGTCGGGGCCGTGGAACGACGAATCTGGGAGGTGTGAATGAGGGCCTCGGGGCACCCCCCCACACACACTCACTTGCGCCCCAGTCCTTCGGCGGCCTCACTGCCATAGCAACCCGGGCATGCCTTGAGGGCTCAGCAGCACCCTCACTTTACCGAGAGAGGTGACCGTGAGCTGATCGTCACGCTCGCGCACTCAAGGCCCTTGGGCACCACCTTCAGGGAGCCTACTAAACGCAAGAACAGCGCTCCACGACCAGCATGCCACTAGTCCAGCAAAGTAAACGTCTGCCAGGCCGTGGCAGGAAGTCACGCCTCCGCCGCACACATGGCCGGAAGCAGCTCTTCATCTTTCATGTGAATGGCTCGGTCTACCAATCCTCACAGCCTTCTGGTAAATGTAGTTTCAACCCGGCGTCCGGCAGGCGAGGAGCAAGCTTTGTGTTCTCCATGGCAACGCCCAGGCTGCAACGCAGAGGGCGTTGGAAAATGGAGTCCCGAAATAAAACATGGCATGGATGTGGATTAACTTTCATTGAGGGTTTTCCTTTTAGAGATACCCAGCAAGCGTCCAGTGCCCTGAGCTCCTTTGTTTAAATGGCATGGAGTGAGTGCCTTTCTAATTCCGCTTTAGCATCGTTGAAGAACTTGCTAGTAATTCAGTTTCATGGGCAAGGCTCCTCTGACACTGAGTCTGCCTTGGCTTGAGCACCCAGGCCTGGATGAGACTCCGGGAGATTCTGAGCTCACGTAGAAACTGCTGCAATTTGTAGTTTGGTGATGAACTTTGGTTATTACAAAGTGGTGTATGTGTATTAAGATGTATGCAGAGGTGTCCTTTCAGCTCTGTTTCCTTAAGACCGGGTCTCTCACTGAACCTGAAATTCACCATTTTCACTAGACTAGTTGGCCAATGAAGTCCGAGATTCTCCATCTCCACCCGCCCATACTGGTACTGCACCTGAGTGGTGTAGTTACAGGCATGTGTAGCCATGCCTGGCTTTTATAAATGGGTGATGGAGACTTGTTTGTTTTAGACAGAGTCTCACTATATAGCCGTGGCTGTCTTGGTACTGACTTTGTAGACCAAGATAGCCTAGAACTCAGAGATCTGCCTGATTGACTCCTGAGTACTGAGATTAAAGGAATGAGCCACTATGCCTGAAAAAAAAATTAAAATTACATTTATTTGTGTGTGCTTGACATGGTATTGATGTGGAGGTCAAAGGACAACTCACAGTAGCCAGTCCCTGGTACTGAACTCAGATCACTGAGCTTGGTAGCAATCTCACCAGCGAGGGTGCTGGGGTTTTGGTGTTTGTTTGTTTGTTTGTTTATTTATTTATTTATTTATTTTTGTTTTTCGAGACAGGGTTTCCCTGTGTAGCTTTGCGCCTTTCTTGGAACTCACTTGGTAGCCCAGGCTGGCCTCGAACTCACAGAGATCCTCCTGGCTCTGCCTCCCAAGTGCTGGGATTAAAGGCGTGCGCCACCACCGCCCGGCTTGGTGTTTGTTTATTGAAACAGGGTTTCTCTGTGTAACAGCCCTAGCTGTCCTGGAACTTGCTTTGTAGACCAGGCTAGCCTCAGACTCAGAGATCCATCTGCCTCTGCCTCCTGGGTGCTGGGATTAAAGGCGTGCACCATCACCGCCTGGCTGGTGCGAGGCATTTGAACTCAGGTCTGCATGCTTACCCATCAGGTGCTCTTCCGCACAGAGTCATCTTCTTAGCCCTACCACTGTCCTTTTGAGAGGTGACATATCAGGGAAGGAGCTTCAGGAAATACGGAAGACCAAAGCACCAGAAAAAGCATACTAGACCTGTAACTGAGAGAAAAGAAGAAAACAGAAAAGTTACACCCTTCAGGCAGACCCTACAGACCCAGTGGTAGCTTATAGAGATCACCTCTCTTAGCTTGCCGGCTTGCCGGCTTGCCTGCTTGCCTGCTTCCTTCCTTCCTTCCTCATCTACCACTGAGATACACCCCCAGCCCTCTATACTTCTTATTTTGAGACAAGGCACTCACTAGGTTGCCTAGCCTGGCCTTGAACTCACTACACAGACCAGACTGTGAATTTGTAACCCTCTTGCCTCAGTCTCCCGAATAGCTGGGGTTACAGGCTTGCACCATCAGGCCTGCTTCTACTATTGTGTTGTGGTTGTGTTAAACCTGAAAATTTCAAGGATAAAGACCAAATCCATGATTATCTAATTAAAACAAGCTTTATTTTATAGGTGCACCTGAGACTGGCCAGGCGGCTGTCTCACCCTAAGTCAGGATTTTAGCAAGAGGCCCCAGATGTGAGGAAGGCAAGGCTTTTATGGCTGGGGGTGGGGGATGATTAAGGGGCTTCCAAATGGGGAATTTGACCAGAAAAATAGGTAGTTACAGGACCAGAACATAAGCATAACAAGTTAATCATAACCACCTCCTGATGATGGGAGCATAGCATGAAAGTCCTTGCACCCACATATCTCCAGGGAAACCTGGAATGTTAAGCACACAGGATTGTCTTTCTAATGGGAAAAATGAAAAACCTGTTCTTCCACCCAGAAAGCTGAGAACTGAAGGATTAACAGCCTGGTGAACTGCATTATCTATTGGGCCAAGTCATATCAAGCTTTCACAACCAAGACCAAAAGTGGCTAGTAATCTAAATGACCTTAATAGCCAGAGGCTCCCCCAAACCCCCACAACTAAGACCAGAGGTGGCTAATAGCCCAAATGACTTCTATACTATCTGTGTGACTGAGACCAGGCCAGACCCTTAGGCCCTTAAGGCCCTTCCTTCTTGAAAGAAATGACATGTATCCTGAGTTGAGTTTCAGTGTAATTACACTTCCTTGTGCAGTGGAGATTGTATTTTACACACTGCACTGGGCTTAAATACATCGAGAAT